TCTCTCTCTCTCACTCTCTCTCTATCAGGCGTACTCTCTCTCTCTCTCTCGCTGTCAGACGCAAGGTGATCTTCGTGTTCACCCAGCAAGTTACCAACTACCCGAGAACCCAGGGAGCCGTTACCACAACACTACATGCGCTAGCCGCCTCTTCAAGCCCGCCGCATCTGGGTCGAAGCGGCCACTAAAGTCGAGCTTCGGGGGAAGAAACTTGCGGTCCACGCGCCAAGAACCATGGCCTCCTCGAAGATCCTTGCCCAAAGGGCTATGTCATGTCATGTGTTGTTTGGTAGGGTTTTGAGTGGGTTCGGTGTTCGGGTTTCTAAGGGTTCCCAATGGCCTTGGGCATGGCTTTGATGGATTTGGGACTATTTCTCAAAGCTCACACAAAAAAAGGCAATTTCCTCGGGCGAGGAAACGGAACAAAAGCCTTCACACCTGGCACAAGATGATCTTTTTTGCGGGCCAAGGATCAGAACCAGGCATTTTGAAAGTGCAGTCATCCGGCGAATTCAAGCACCTGGATACTTCCAAGCCGGCCGAGCCTCGCCAATCTTCTGCGCAACCAGTGAACTCACCTGCCTGGCTTGCATTAGGCGCTCAATGAAGTCTGCAGAGTCTGAGCATATGATTCGGTGTGTTAGGTGTTGTGCACCCAATGGCCTGATTCGTGCCAGCATCCTCGATGAAGGCACAACCCACGATAGGGTTGGGCTGGAACACGGCAAGGATTTTATGGGACTCCGGGGTCCTCCCACAAGCGTAGCGGTTGCAGCCGTACAAGGATATCCCCGCTTCACGCAACTCGTTGTCCGTTGCACCAGGTCGGTAAGGACTTGCAAGTTCTTCATTCACAAATGAGGCCGACGTAAACCAGTTCCCTGCGATTCCATGGCCGGAGCTGTGGTTTTTGCACCTTGGCCACTCGTCCAAATTCCAGCCCAAGCTCAAATAGCCTTCGTGTTCCGGCTGCTGCCCATGCCGAAGACCCAAGACTTGCGAAACTTTTTTATCGAAACCAGTCTTGTGAATACCTCCTGGCCGCGTGGCCAAGAGTTTCACGATTATTCCATTTTGGAAGCGCTGGTTCAGCTCATCAGCTAGGCTTTTGTCACGCTGGAATTGAGCCTCTTCCTCCGCCGATGAGTTTGAAGATGTTTCAGAACTTGCACATGCAACAGAAATTGGGAAGCTGGACGGCCACATGGGCAACTGTGCTGCAGCATTGGCGCCCGGAATAGAGCGGAAGGATGCCGAGGTGCTGAGAGCAAAGATCGCAGCGCTGGGAATATAACCGGCAACAAATCACTATGATCAGGATCAGGTGACGAATGCCATGCAACCGAACACCGCATGCAATCTTGCATCATGTTCAGGAGTACTTGACGAAGCGCACCCAAGAAATGGTGAATGTCCTCCAGTACCTCCGTGACTTGTGAGAAGCGCAAAAACCTGGGTTCAACACTGGTCATACCTTTTCCGATCTTGCCCGCGTCTTATTTCAACACAAATGCCATTCACAGCGTGTCGCGAGCTGTTTAAGGAACTCGTGTTGACACAGAGACATCCTTGTGAACTAGACCGGGGCTTGCTGCCGGCATTCGGCAGCAAAGGCCCGCAGACTGGGATAGTTTACAATGCCAAGCTCGACGACAGGACGCGTTGCTTTGAGCATCCGCAGCGCAGACTCCAGATCCATGCCTTGGTTCGCCATCAGACAAGCAGCTGCCATACCTGCAATGGAGAGCTGAGATTGAGAAAATATGGGACTGGTTGACTAGGTCTTTCCCGCTCTAGTGCAACAACCCAGGCCAGCGAGCCCTCTGAGCCCATCACACGAGGCACGGCCGCGGCCGCCCTTGCAGTGGATGTAGATGCGTCCACGCCCACCGGTGGCTTTGAGGCGTGCCCGGACGAACGCCACTCCATCACGAAGATGTTCCAGGCTTGGCGGTGTGGTGTCCAGAGTTGGCAGCTGCAGCTGTTCAATCCCATGTTGTTTGTACACCTCGATCCGGAAACCCAAGCGCCATATCAAAAGAACTCTAAGGTTATTATTCAGGCACGAGACATCCCAAAAAAAACACAGCCCTGGATCAAAACCAAGCCAGAACCTGCCTCCACCGGCCCGTGCCACTCTTCCGTCATGTTCACCACGGAATGTACCTCGTGCTCCAAAAGGATCGGCACCTGGAAGAGGCTTTAATGACCAATGGAGTTTACCTTTGAGGATTTGGACTATCGCGACAGACTATTGGGTTTTGGGGCATAAGGGACAAAGGCTCAATCGCGCAGGAAAATTATATAAACCTTGACCCCACGGAGAGGAGAGATAAATTTGTCCAACCCGCCGAGCTGACAATGGAGAGGAGAGAAGCATTAGAATTAGTTCAAAGGGTTCGCACAAATGAATAATTGCCACGAGTCACATGACGAGCCAGAGGCCGACCACCCATGCAAAGCTGTGCGTCGATGTCAGAAACCAGCTCTCCGTTTTTGCCGTTAAAAAAGAAAGGCCAAGGCAGAACTGACGAAAATACTGTATCGGCTGCATAGCTGATCAATAGCAGCGGCGCATCCCAGAAGCATTTAAGCAGAAGCCGGCCACCTGGCCAGATTGTGTCAGGCGAAGCCCGGTTCAGGATCGACAGAAAAGTGAGCTTTGCCACAGCTGGGCCGCAGCAGAGAACGGCCGGAAACTTGAAGTTCAGCCACAGCAAGGGCAATGCAACACAGCTGCCCCACAGCTGAACCCAGAGAGTCGCAGCCATGCCGTAGAGTCGCTCCGTTCGGGATTTCCGCCGGTTCAAGCCTTCGAGGCCCAGGGGGTACGCCTGGCAAATGCTCGCAACGGCCCAGCTCAGCTCTTGCGGCCCAAGAGAGCAGAGGCCGATGCAGCCCAGGTCCACGCAAAGCATCACCGAGAGCCTCAAGAGAGCCGCGGCTTTTGGGTTTACCAGGGTTTTATGTGAAATTTTGGTTTGCAAGGATTTACACCTGTTCCTTCCCCGCCTGGGCTTAAAAGGTGAGGACTTGCCCGGCCGCCCTGGGCTCCGAACTCTCTTTTCTGACGACTCCCTTGAAGACACAGCTGCAGTATTCACTGTGGCGGCTTTAGCGCCGTTCGGGCCCAGTCTGAGACAATGAAAAGCAAAAGCCTTTTATTCCAATTCTAAAGGTAAGATCTGGGATAGGCTTCTGAAAAGACTCCAGTTCCAAATCAGGCGCTTGTGCCGTTGCTTGTAAACTGGCTGCAGGAAAGCTTTCCCAGGTTGCATTTTTTGCGGCTCCGGCACACGGACACAAGACTGACGCTGCTGGCCACAGAGGACTGGTGCAGGTTTCCATCCAGCAGCGGCCGCTCGTGGCCGGACGGCCCAGCCATGGCTAAATGAGGGACTAGGCCCCACAGCCTGGAGCAATCACGGCACTTATCGAAACTTCTCGTTATGGCTGTGGAGCTGCGAAGGCTTCGAAGGCTGTGGAAGGAAGCGCGGCCTCACTCCCCAACAAGCTCTTCTCTTGCTTTCTCCGCCGGTCGCGCCGACAACTCCGAGATGTCCTCATGGACAAGCCAAATCGCATCAAAACTGCGAATTGTCTTGGAGGCATTCAAAAAGCTCGGCAAAGGTGCTGAGGCACCCGAGCGCGAACCGCTGTTCAATTTACAAAATGAAATTCATGCAATGACCTACATGGCTACTGCCTCGCATCGTCCACAGAGCCGAAACCCATCAAAGCTCTTCCCCGAGGCCAATGCTGCCTAGCGATTCCCGCATTCAACCGTCTGGCTACCTGTGAGATGATGAGGACGACATGGCCACGTGAGGCGGCGCTGCTTCTCGAAGCTCTATACATAGCAGCAGAAGACTTTGTGACGCCACACCGCGTCGATCTGCATTTACTCAGCCATCAACCTCCATTACATCCTTGTGCACGAGCCTTTCAGGCTGACTCCTGGGCCGCTCTCCAGCTACCTGTGGATGCTGGAGGGCTTTCAGAGCCACGTCATGGCTTGCCTGTGCCGGGAGCTAGGGATTCACGTTTACCAGCTCCATGTGCAAGCACCGACTGATACTCGACTGATGCATGGATACTGTAGAATCACCCTGGCTCAAACTTGGTGGTCAAAACCTTCAATCAATGTGTCACACATAGCGTCGATCAGTACTTTGGGTGGGCATGGAAAGGGTTTTGGGAAACCTTCTGAATCGCTGTACAACAGACGGTTCAGCCTAAATTCAAAAACTAAAGGCAGCAAAATAGCGCCTGCTTTTTCGATGAGCATGCTTCTCCTGTCCGCTGAGCTCATCTGCACACGAGAGGGTCTCACCGAAACCCTGAGTCCCAAGCACTGGCCCTGGCAGCCTTCATTACTGCGAGCCCCAGGCCTGGTGTGTCTTGGTGTCCGAGTCGCGGCCACGATGGGCACTGCATTTACGACAATGACGACGACAACGGCTTCAGTACCGCTGCTACTGGTAGCAACTGTAATTGCACGCTCCCTTCTCCACTTAACTTTAACCCTAAACTTCAACCTTGACCTTGCCTTCGAAGCGCAGCTGCAGCGGCTTGATGTGAAGGAATGCACGGAAGCTTCCTCCTGGCATGCCCTTGTACTCCCACCTCAGCTGCAGAAGGCGTTTGGCGTGCTCTTCTTGCTGACATTTCTTGCATGTTGCTGAATACACCACCAACCCTGGACCATGAGGCAATACCGAAAGTGTCGGAAATTTGTTCCATGATTTTGCTGGCGGTGATTGATATAATAGTTGTGACAACGACGAGAATCAAAAGCCTGCTGGTGCTGGTGTTCCCTTTGCCTTTGCATGCAGCCCAGAACCATAACTCCATCCATAACTCCGTTGCACGTTTTTGCGAGAATAGCCGTGCAGTGGCAAAGCCGATGTATTTTCTAGCATGTGCTGGTATCAGTCTGCAGTTTTCTGAATTTTGCATGCCTGCAAGACACCGGAAACCAGCTCCAGAGCCGCATGACGGTCGGAAGAAACGTTTAGTACAGCTACTACGAGGACGGCTCATGAACCTCGAAGGGCTTGAGTGCAAGTGGGCGGCTCCAGCGTCTTGTCGCAGTCGCTCTGACGGTAGGTCTTTTGGGCCCATTCCTGGGCATCGAATGAAGTGAGCTTTCTTTTGTTCTGGGGGGCTTCTCTCTCTCAGTGCTCCCAGAGGAGCACCAGTGTAAAACCACCTCCTCCTCCCTCAACAGTACTCCCGCAGTGAGCTGTACTTGCCTTGACTCGAAACGAACTCGCAAAATGCCTTTCCGTGCAAAGGCCCTCGAGGCGAAAGAAATCTTGTCTGGATCCAGCTGCACTAGTGAACGGGTCTTCAGACTCATCAAATCACGCTATGACTGACTATGGAACTGTGAAGACTGCCTCTTCTCCGACTTTGTCCAAGCGTCGCAGAGGCGGGACTTGGGCGGACCAGTCGACACTCCCGACATGCTCTTCGCGGTTGTTTCCGTTCGATCCGAGGCTGCCGGACACTTCCTTGCAAGGCTTCAGGTCCGAAGCAAAGCGGGGCGTATTGGACAGAACATGATCCAGCAACTGGCTGAATGAGACGAATTTCGCCGGCGCCAGCTGCTTTGCTTCCATGGTCGGCTGGTTGTGGTTGTCCAAGCAATCCTTGCCAGATGTTGCTCTCAGCACCCAAGGTTCCGACAGGCACTGCACACGAGAACCATACATCAATTTAATTAACGGCACTAACGCTTTGGCCTGCAGAATCCCTTGCCGCAGAGCTCAAAGAATCACCGAGCCGCAGTCTGGCGAAGGCGCAGGGCGACTAGGAACCTCACACTCCACCACTTGCTGCAGGTTATGGGTCGCAAAGGGGTTGAATCTGGAGTTTTAACGGCTTGGGAGCTAGCAGCTAGATAAGCCATCAACCCCAACTCCAACAATTGCACCAAATTCCCACAGGCATAGCGCCGGCACTTCCACATGAGAGGGGGGTCACAGACCCTGCATGTCCGTTAAGCTTTTTTTGTGCGTGGATATCGACGAGTTGGGAGCCTTACATCCCAGAAAGCTTTCCGGATTGTGGTACGGAAGCGCTTTTGGATGCATGAGATTAAATGGCTTTTGGGTTTGAAAAGCTCATCGGACCACTTGCTGCTAGAGTAGCCAGAGCAGCTCATTCTACAGAGGCCTCAATGGCCGGGCGACAGGAAACAAAGCTCGTCCCGCTCTCTCGCGGTGTACCTCAGTGGTGCTTTCGCCAAACCCTGGAGAAGGAAATGGTAAGCTTCAAGCGTTCGACAGTGGAGCTCGCTATGATTCATCGAGTTTTGGAGCTGCACACGTAGGCGATGGACTAGGGGCCTGGGGACTGTCGACCTCCCTGGAAACCAGGGCGTAGGTTCGTGATAAAGGTGTGCGCCATCAAGTCTTGTCGCAACCTTGGTCCACCTTGAAAGGTCAGAAGCACCCCCAGCCTTCAGCCCCCATGACACGTAAGGCTCAAAGCCAAAGGCGGGCAAGGACTGCGTGTCACCCCAGGCCCATCGGATGCATCGAAGAAACCGCTTACGACTCGGGTCGAAAAACTTCTTGGAGTCCTTGCTCCAACCACGGGGTCTTCAGCTCACA